AAAGAATGTCCTTTACATCAAAAGTTGTTATAACAGTGTATTGTTCAAATACATTCCCATATGTAACTTTGAAGGCTGTTTAAATTAGTCGAGAAATGATTCAATTGATCTTACACATACCATGTAATTACAGCATTATTCAAATAATATAATGTAAATCAGCAAACTAAGAAACCATTAAAGCAAAAGTCTAGCTCGGTATAGGACAACAAGAGTTCATTATTTCAACACGTACGTTTTCTAACACACTTATGTTCTCCGTTACTTTCAAACTCCTTTGTTTTAAAATGGTATTGTCGTACCTTTATTGTATTAACTGGAACGACGCGAAGGTTCATAACAGAAAAATCAAGCTCTTGTTCACGAAAATTAATAGCTTTGAAAAAAGCTATTGAAAAATAGCTTTGGAAAAAGCTATTGAAAAATAGCTTTGGAAAAAGCTATTGAAAAATAGCTTTGAAAAACAGCTATTCAATGAAATTGAATGACTTCACGCTTTCAGTCGCTCGAAACACGATTTCTTAAAATTGATGTAACTTCGGAGTTAATGAATATTCTTATATGAAAAATTCCAGCATATTGCTGAAACATGCGCCGATAAACTCGCACGCTTTGAAATCAGTAAGTCCGACAGTCTTCTTGAAACAAAATTAAAGAACATCGCGTTTGCATTTCGTTACATTATGAAATTAAATGTAATCGAATCTCTTGAAAAAAGTAACAAAGAGACTTCCACAATGTTTCAACGTTTTACTGAGAAATATTATTCTTGGAAGCTGCAAATAGGCAGTCGTTTATTGATTACAGCCTTAAACAAATGGTATAGTTAAAATGAATTAATAAAGTTCGACAAGTTTTACTTGAAATAATAAATAAGAAATCACAAGTAAATTAATGTTTCATTTGCAAATAAAATTTCATTTCTTGCTTGAACTTAAGTAAAAAGCAAATAAAAAGCAATTTGATCTGAATGATGTCGCATAATACGATTGGAGACCACTATTTGCTGACTATGACGCGTGCTCGACGCGACGTGTCGAATAAATAATAAATAATAAGCAAAATTATAGACTGAACCTGTTAAATAAATTCCATCGATTCAGCACGTTAAACAAATTCCGTCGATTTAACGTAAAACGTTTTTAAAAAAGAACTCCATCGATCGAACATATCAAAGATCTGTAGTCGACTAAATTCAAACATGAAAAGAAACAGCAGACATTAACATTAAACGACTAAATGTGTTAAAGAAATTCTATCGATTCAAAATATTAAATAACTTCCGTCAATTCGTCATGTTAAACAAACTCCACCAATTTAACTCACGTGTTAAAAAAAGAAAAAACTCCATCGATCGAACAGATGTTAAAGAGCTGCAATCGATCGATCGCGTTAAACAGGTTCGATCGATCGAGCCGGCATCGATTTACCAAGATTTTCAAGTCGAAGCGTCAAGGGAGGGGTGTCGAATAAAATCGGCTGTTTTCGATGGGGTCTAAGGCGCTTAACGAACTTTGACAGAGGCTCATCAGTCGCCGGGTCGGCGTATTACTCAGGCTAATATATTACCATAAAACCGGCGGGGGCTTCTCTCACCTCTTTTCCATTTAGGATGAAAGCAAGCACCGCGGCAGGATAGCTGGGCGCCGAGGTGCACTCCGCGTGAAGGATCTCGCCGGCCTCGTAGGAAGGTCGAAGCCCTTGGAGACTGGGTCGTTCCTTCGGCTGTATGGCGACGCTCATGTTCGCTTGCTCGTAGCTTGTCAGGAAGTTCGGCCTCTCGGAGGACACCTCACAGCCATACGATCCCACGAGGTTCACCTTACCTGTCGCAGCCAGCACACGTAATATCTTTCTCCATTCTGCCTCATCCACCCGACTGTCCGCCACGATTGATATTTAAAGTAACGCGGGGTGAGCCTGAACCCGGGCCGGTGGCTGCGGCGTGATAAATTTGATCAGGAACTTGCGGGTAACGACAGAGACGCGTTAGAACCTTCGCCTTCTACCTTCCACCTTGCCACCTTCGCCGGCCCGCCGGCTGTCCGCCGCGGTGTCCTCGTGGCTGAACGTCTACCGACCGACGCGGCCGCCCCGGGTCTAATGTAAGTGATGGATGACCCGCGAATACGGAAGTTTTTCCAAGATTTTTTTTAACGAATCATCAGCCTAATGGAATCGTGCGCCACGGCGACCACGGCGGACAAAGACCGCGGCGAACTGGGTCGTGCGGCGGCCCGCGGCGGGGCGCTTTTTAAATTTCAAATCCAATGCCCGCCGCCCGGAGAATTAATGAATCGATTAGGTGGGGACGTCTGATCAATGGCACCATATTCTAGTCTCGGTAATGCTCTGCGCCCGAGGTGTGTCCCGGCCTGGACTGTCGGATGGCGGTCGCAGGATCTTCATGCTGATCTGGGGATCGTTTGGACCGCGGCCAGTTTTCTTTTGATGGATTTCAGAATCGCGCGGACGCGCGCATTGACGATAGGAAGCGGCAGTTCGGGAAAGTGTTTCGGATGGTTTTCTTTTTCTGGAATAGCGTGCTTTGAACGCCGAGCTTGCTGGGTAAAACGCAACGATTATCGTGGGTGATACTTGGTGTTCGAAGAAGTGCTGGCACGCGATATTAGCAAATTATGTGTCGTTGTTCATTTTACGATGAGAAACGGTACTAGGATTCTTTAACCCCTTAACGCACAGTTTTTTGGAAGAAAACCGGCCAAAAGAAATCAATTTTTTGGTGGAGAATTTTGATATACTGCGCTTTTGTTCCGTGGAGAAAGGCTGTATTTTATTCTTGAATAAATAAGTGTTATTTATTCAAGTGCTTACAATCCCATGTAAATGATAAATATCAATAAAACGATTCTTCTTCTTTGCTTTCACATTGTTATTTTCAATTCTCGATGATATTCGAGTGTGAAAGATTATAGCAGCATAAAATACAATCCAAATACATAAATACAGCATAAAATACAAATACTCGAACAGTTTGGCCTGTTTAGCGCGCTCGAATTAACTCGAGCGTACAAGTTAAGGGGTCGAAGAAGGATCGTAGTCGTGAAACGAAGAGACGTAGTCTCGATTGCACGAATTTTCAATGAATTTATCGACCATTTAGACGCTAATGTATGAATTCCAGCTTGCCAATTCTCGTTTGATCAACTATAGTGCAGCTGCTTCATCTAATTTTCACGACGAGTCAACGTGTCAGAGCGCCTCGAATCGCGCACGGTTCGGAACTCGAGTTCTCGCGAACGTTCTCAAACGTCTTCCAGCATTCCATCGCAACGGCAAGCTGTATTTATCCGTTTGCAAGCGATTCCCGAGGATTCCGGGCTCGGTTCGCGATTTCTTTGACGCGTCTTAAGTGGCCGAGCAACCAGGGTTTACATTTCTTTTTAAGAGCTTCCGCCGCCCCCCCTCCTCCCCCCGCACTCCAGACGACCATTACCGGCGACGAAAGTTTCGAATGAAAGAATAAGAGGGCACACCCGCGCGCCGCGCCGTGCAACTTATCGCGGGGCTACCTTTCCGACCGTAATGAATTAATGAAGTTACGAGAACCGCATCGGATCCCGGCCGCGCCCGACGCATTTACGGCCACTGGATTAGAAACCTAACGCCGAAACCTGGCCCCGATGAGCGTCGGGAACGGAAAGATGATCGCGAATAGTAATTGAATAGACACGGATCTCGTACGCGACCCGAGAGCGAGAGCATTCTGAGTTATTTAACCCTAGAAAGATAACCATATGACAACGTACGTAAAAGATAACCATACGCTTCAGAGGCGCATGCTTTTCTAAGGCGTCAATTTTATACTAACAATGGATATTTATTTAAGTTAATCTAGTCATTTTAAAGGTTCGGCATTATTGTAAAAATAAAATGCATTTATATTATATTTTTTTATATTTTAAGTAATTTTAAACTTAAATCACTAGACCTCTATGAAAAATTCACAAAAATCAACAGTCTTCGCAGGCGCCTCTGCGACGTAGGTTATCTTTCTCGGGTTAAGCGAAGTTTAATGAACGCGTTAAGTTTGATTTGAAATCCATCGAGAGATTATTTATTCTCTGTTCGTTTTCGTTAGTTAATCATTTTGTTAATTTTTCGGATTCTCGATAACTGTATTAATTGCCCGACTGATTTGTGTATTTGTGTATGTGCTGTATTGTTATTATTCATTCTTGCTTTAATCATTTTATCGATTTTCTACAAGGATTTACTTCTTTATATCATTCTGTTAATTTTTCTGACCGGAATTCTTCGTCTTAATCATCGTATTAATTTTTCTGTTATCGTTGCAAATATTCTATCTGGATTTTCTGATCATTTTATTAATTTTCCGTCACGATTTTCTTCTCTATATCATTTTGTTAATTTTTCTGGCCGAAATCATCGTATTCATTTTTCTATCAAAATTTTTTTACGTAAATGTCTGATTTATTAATCGTTCTATCTGAATTGTTCTATCTTAATCATTGTATCAATTTTTCTATTAGAGTTCCCTTATCTCGAACGTTATATTAATTTTTCTATCCAAATATTTTTGTGCTTCTGTAATTTTACTCATTTTTCTATGTGAATTTCCTTGTCGTAATCATTATGTGAATTGTTCTTTTTTTGTCTTTATCATTCTATGAATTTTTTCACACGAATTTCCTTGTCTTAATCATTGCATGAATTTTTCTATGTGGACTTCCTTTGCCATAATCGATGTCCTATCAAACCTTATTTGACCCGATAGATATTTCTGTCTGAACTATTCGTCGCATGACCAATTAACTTAAAACATGATTCAACTAATACGTACACGGTATCGAATATTTCTAAATTGCATTTTTGTATCGATTTTCCACGAATTGGACAGGTTTAGTTAAAAAAAAATTGATTGCCAGTGGATTGTAAAGAATTGATCAATTCGGTGCTTCCTTCGGTGAAAAATAAATTACCGATTCATTATATTATAGAAGTAGAACCAGTAGAAATACTAATTACTTGTTGATTACTAAAAATTAACCGCTACTTCGTTTCACGAAAAACAACATTTTATACTTTCAAATACACTGAAATCCTATACCGTAATTCAGTCGCGTGTCGATGTGTGGAAAACTAAATAATATGAGCCGTTTATTTTGAAAGTGGCACAAGTCACTTTACCGTAATGCAAAGTTGTGATTTTTTAATGTTTATACGAAATTATTTATACCGACAAAAATATCAGTATCCTGAGATAACAAATACAGGTAAATCTTCTCGAAAGTTAGCATCCATATTTTTAAACGTGTTGAAACGCAAACCCTTAAATATTATATATCGACTTAAAAACAAAGTGACTTATGCCACTTTCAAAATAAACGGCTCATATTCTCCAGCCTCGAATTTGATCTTTTTTTAAAAAAAAAAAAAGGCAGAAAGAGAGATAATCGTAGCCGCTAATACAGTTATTGATGCCAGGCAAGTCAGAGCGACAATAATTCATAAACATGTGACTCGTCGGTGCGCTGTTTTGTCCCCTAGTACTACGGACGTCGGTGTAATGGAGCAAATTAGAGGGGACATTACTTAGGGAGCGGCAGCCTGATATGAATAATAATTAAGACAGGGGTGATTAGAGGTGAACAACCAACCTTTGCGCGTGTTCGCCTGTCCCAGCAGCGTCACTTGCTTGCTGTCGCTCGTATTTACATCGACGTAGATACCGTCGACTGGGAAGTCACGGCCTGGCGGCGTCGATTTCGGCATGAACCTGAAGAACTCGTTCCCGTCTTTGTACCACTTCACCGAATACAATTCCTTGCCGCCCAGATCGTACTCGCACCTTAACGTCACCTTGTCCCACCTCGGATCCGCTATGCTCGGCACCTCCAGCCTTAAAATTTTGATCGCCGACCCTGCGGAAAAAGATGGCTCCATGTACAAGCTGAACTTGAAGTGTCAGAATTATTTGACTTATTTGAACCTCGTAGATTCGCTAGATTTATTATCTTCATTAGAGAATTATTTAACTGCATCCTTTTTTTGTTCCATATAAGATGGTGTAGCCAACCTGGGGCGACCAGTTGCTGTGCCTTTGTTNCTTGTCCCACCTCGGATCCGCTATGCTCGGCACCTCCAGCCTTAAAATTTTGATCGCCGACCCTGCGGAAAAAGATGGCTCCATGTACAAGCTGAACTTGAAGTGTCAGAATTATTTGACTTATTTGAACCTCGTAGATTCGCTAGATTTATTATCTTCATTAGAGAATTATTTAACTGCATCCTTTTTTTGTTCCATATAAGATGGTGTAGCCAACCTGGGGCGACCAGTTGCTACGCCTTTGT